AACGCAGAGCGCAGGACCATATATGAGCTATATTCTAAACTCCTTCAAAGGGCTTATATAGCGGATTCTATAGGAGACTATTGTAGGGGTTATTAAGGAGGATACTGGGAATTTAGAATTTAGACTCTGGCTCATATGGGGTTTAGGGTTTAGGGTTTGGGATCATTGACGGTGGACATAGGGGTCGTTCGTGTAGTTTAGCCTAGTCCCTTAATATAGTTCTTCATCAGGAGCCCATGACCATTAGATGCTGTAGGAAAAAATTATGGTAGCTCACATGAGGCCCTCGACCACTCTGCAATCCTTGCGCCCCGAGACAAAACCCCGCCACCCTGGCAATGTTAAGCATTCTTTTTGTATAAAACCCTAAACCCTAAGCCCAGAACCGTAAGCCAACATAACATATCACCCTGAGAATGCTTAATATCAAGGGGCGTGGGTTGTGATGTTGGGTGCGTGCTGCGTGCTTGTGGGATTAGTAGTGTCACGAAATTCAAGCAATATTTGCAGATCAAGCTTACAGATTCTTTGCCAACATGTGCTGGAAAGCAGCAAGACCATGATGGGAATATAGAGTAGCAATGCTTGCAATGACTGCAATGAACGTATTACTAGAAACTACAGGCTTCGAAATTACTTGCAGCACCTTACATGCTAAACCTTGAACCCTAAACCCTAAACCCAAAACTCTAAACCCAAAACCCTTAATGTGTGGACTGGGCTTTTCGCGCCCTTAGGCTCTGTGATGCCGAAAAGCGCACAAATGATATGCGCTTACATGCTTGTGGGTCCTCCCCTAACCCCTGAACCCTGAATCCTAAACCCTAAACCATACCATGCTAGAATCCTGGTACCCGGATGGATTCAACTTGCTTTGCGGCGTTGCTCGTGGGGGGACCCAGCAGCTTTGCCTCTCTGTGTTCTCAGGTGCAGCCAAACTGCTCTCCACCGCGTTGCCTGCAATTTCTCGAGCTGAAACATGTGGGTGCGATGCGCTGGCTAACTTAATGGTGCCAGTTTTTCCATTGTTTCTAAACATACATAAGTTCTTGATTCTTGAAAATGTGGGAGCTTGAGCCGCGAATTCTTTGAAGGGTAGACTATTGTCCTGAGAGTGTCATGGGTCCTTGCTAGAGCAAGCTTAAAGAAGGAACCTGGCTTGTCAAAACTTTCCTTGGTCATGGCATCTTTTTCACTGAGGATTATACCCTAAGCCCTAAGGTGTTTTTGGGGATGCAGGTAGGGGGAACCTACTTTGGCAAAACACCCATCTGCTTCTACCTTGCTTAAGTCATGCAGAGTACTGCAAGAAGCAGCACAGGTGGCACGTATACCATGTGATCGCCCTCTGTGGGTTGGGGACCGACCTAACACATCTGCAGACGTTTTTTGGTCATCGATGCCGCCATCCCCTGCGCAAGATGCCTTCGTAATCCCTGTATATCTCGAGGGCTCCCAACCCCTCCCCCATTTTGAGAAATCCTCAGATGTCAAAAGTTTGGCTGGGACTACAGTGACTACAGCTAGTAGCACACCGGTTGTGAGCAAGACAGCATCGGTGTGTGAACTGAGGCTGGCAGCACATGGAGCATATGCTAATATCCACCTGCATCAAGACATGCTTGAAACAAAGTGCAGCGTCGCGTGCATGCAGCAATCTTTGTCTTAGTGAGAACTCAAGGCATGTTGCGAAAAGCTTGAGACGGATAAGCACAGCTGGAAGACTTAGAAAGTCATAGATACTGGAAGCTTGACATGCTGGATGGCTCCCTTCCTTCATGAAGGCGTGCTCCTGAGTCGGGGTATCTCACACCATCGGCGGTTTCAGTGCCTGATGCAGTGCAATTGTCGTAGAGCCTTCCTGATTACACTGTATTTACAGAGCAGATGTGAGCGTCCTTCTCTCTTTTTGAGCAAGGCTCAGGTTATCCTGGAGCTTGGAAGTTGTCACTACTTCATTTGCAGGTCCTGCAGCCTTCAGCCAACCCGGCAAAGTACGAATGAGCAGCTTAGTGATTTCATGTGTGCTTACCCGGCAAAGTACGAATGAGCAGCTTAGTGATTTCATGTGTGCTTGGATGGTATATGCTACCACATACGATTCAGCTGATGCAACGGGCTCATGCAGTTACGAGAAACGAGAAGCTGTGCATATACGCCTCCGCAAAGCAAACGATCAGCAACAAGAACTCTGATGTAGCCTGGTTTGTTAATGCTCTCAGCGCAGCCCCTCCACCATGCCCAGAAAACCCGCATAAAATCCGCCTCAAGGCCCGTAGCCTCTCCGGTGGATTTCTTTTGGATGATTTTCAGAAATTCCCGATCTGCCCGTAATACACGGGAATCCCCAAAATAACAGGTTCCCGAACAGTCGCTTATCTCACCAATCCCCTCCCCCTGATAGTAACCACCCCGCCACCCGCCTAAGAGTCAATGTTCTGTCCAACATATACTGGTCCTACGCAGGTGTTGTTTTATTCTTAGGGAGTTGGGGTTCTTAATAACCCTAATGGTCTGGAAGTCTCCATTTTCCTTTCCATTCCCGTGCATATATGGGAGCGTTTGGGGTCTGTTTCTCAGTGGAGGTAGAACCTATAATGTGTAGTTATTACAACCCCCATGGAAACCCGGTTTCCATCTAATGTTTCATCTTCTGTTCCTTTTGATCCACCATTATACCTCTGCAAGCTACAGATCCCAATATATTCCCATGGGTACATTCATGATCTTTCTACAGAGCGGATGGAATTCTTTTCAGAAAGCTAATCTTTTGAGATGGCAGGTCAGCACAGCTTTCGACCCACGGGCGCATGCAGAGATGCAGTACCTGGGGCTACAGGGTTTAGGGTTTAGGGGTTAGGTTTCAAGTTTTTGGGTTCAGGATTTAGGGTGCGTTTCGGGTAGATGGAACATCGGTTTTGCAATGTTCCAATCAATCGGCTGTGTATTCCTTATCTCATTTGTCTATGATTCTTAAAGCCCCCCGCTGCGTCCGTACAACATATCTACAACCCTTATGTCATCTGAATATAGTTCCTGTTTGCACAGGAACGAAATTGCTGGCCCCAAGAGCACTCTACGTACCAACGCGGAGTTGGGAATGGGGCTTGGCTTCTAGGAATTATTGCTGGGATTCTGAAAGGGCCCTAAGAGAATCCATGCCCCCTTTCCCAACTAAACCCACAAACCCTAGGCCCTAACACAAGATCGGTACGACATGACAGGTATCAAACAAAGGCTGCCTTAATCGCCGCGGTTCCTCGTTGTCTGGGGACTGCTCCCCTTTGTCAAAAAGGCCACTTTACACCTCGTGTCAAAGCATTGGGATGTGTGTGGCGGCCATAAGCCCTACACACTAAATGCTGAATGCTGTAGTAGCTTCTGTTTCTTCATTTCCCCCTTCCCAACTAAGCATTAAAAAGCTAAGGTACGTCGGCTCGGAGGGCTTTTACCGGCAGGCACTGAGGGTTCAGGATTTGGATTTGAGGGAAGTTAGGACTCAAGGGTGTCAGTGTTTAAGAGTCTTTTTTACCGCGTTAAGGTTTTAGGATGTACGTGGTGTTCGGGTGCAACTGGTTTAATGGAGTTAAGGGGTTTTGAGGGTGTTAGAGCGGTTGAGGCTTCAGTGGTTTGAGGTGTAGGTTTTGGCGCTGAAGGTTTATACCGACACCCTCAACCCTAAGCACTGAACCTCCACGCGCGGAGTCGACTAGTGCCTACAAGCCTTGGGCGTTTGGCATCAGCTCCCACTCTCGTGCCTACAGGGTGCCCCAACAACAAAGGGTAATCCTCGTAAGGGGCGCCTACTTTCTGGAAGCCCGCAGCTTCCTTGCGATACTTCGCCCGATGCTATGCACACCCTTCACTGCTACAACCAACTTCCTAGACTTATGATACGGATCCGAAAACTAAAGCCATGCACAGAGCCAGGACCCTCCTTCCTGAAATTCTATTCCTTGACATAATCAAACCTCCGCCGACTTGTTCCTGGTGTGTATCGTTAGTAGCATGCACTGTGTTGAGTGCATTGTTTGCTACAAGCATTATCAAGGATAGCATACCGACATCAAGTACAAGTATCTTTTTCGTATCAAGACCCTAAACCCTAAACTGTCGAGGAGCTCTTCAAGACGCATCTTCTGCCGTAGGATCTTTCCTCTGCCCATTTTGTCTGCTTACTGCTTGCTAGTCTTCAGATGGTCATGGCATGCCTTCCTCGTTTTCAGGAAGATAGTTGCCATTCTGAACAGGATCACCCGAACTGGTATAAAAATGACAGTCTTTATGTCTAATGTTAGTTTGCATTTCTTGCTGTCAACGGCACTCTTTTTAGCTTGGCAGGCTCTATGAATTGCAGCGGTCCTGGCCAGACTATTTCTAGCGAGATTGTTAAAGCCGAAGAACAAGTCAACACAACGTCAGAACAAAGCTTGCGCGGCTCTGGAGCTGAAACAAGATGGACTTGTATAGTACATCGAGAAACCCTTCTACGCCGCCCCAAAGCTCCAAACCCCAAGCCCACCCTTAGACCCCAGACCGCCAAAATCAAGAACACACCCTGACAACCCTGAATATCATAAAGCACACCTACACTCTAAAAGACTCTAAAAGGCCCATGAACCCCTAACCTTGAGCATTAAACCCTAGACCTCAAACCCTAGACCCAACCCTAGACTCTAAAGCCCAAAAATCCTAACCTAAACCCCTTTAAAACCTCAATATTTACCCTCATATAGCAGTTTCCATTTTCTTTTCCATTATTCCTATATAACCCTCATGTATACAGGATTGGTCCGGCCAGGTCCCTCAGGCTACCCAGGCCGCAGCAGCCAGACGCCTCGCAGCCGCCACTGCG